GATTAGCATCGGGATGGAGTCCAGCAGGGTGAGGCCGCTGCTTTGAGGAGTCGGGCCTGGTGATCCACGCCTGTAATCCCAGCACGGGGGGCCAGGAGCTCCAGAGCAGAGCAGGGCTCCAGCGTGAGCACGGGAGGGGAAGACCCCCTCATTTTACCCCCCTCTTTCTTTCCAGTTGTTTTTCTTTTCTTTTCTTTGCAAAGGGCCTGCGGAGGGGGCCTGGGCCTGTGGAGATCTCCTTCAGATCTCCCTTTCCTTCCATATAGAGAGGGGCCGCAGCGCTGGGGCTGCGTTACAGGGATGCTGTCCCGTTCCCTGGCTCTAGGTTTTACATTAGAATGATGAGTTCTTCCTCGCTGTGGTCGGTCCCGGGGCTTGAACTCAGGGCCTGAGCTTTGCCCTCCGGGCTGGTGCTCCACCGCTCCAGCCGCAGCTCCACCTCCCCCTTTCGGAGGTTCATTGAGGAGTCTCGCAGACGCCCAGGCTGGCTTTGAACCGCGGTCCTCCGCTCTCTCGGCCTCCTGAGTGGCTGGGATGCCAGGCGGGAGCCGCCAGGGCCGGCCTTGTTTTTGTAAGCAATGACTTCCCGATCGAGATGTCGGGAAGTCGTGGCGAAGCTCCGACCCGGAGCCAAAGGAGGCTACGCAAGAGTGTGAGTCCCCGAGTTCAAGCCTCGGCCCAGGCCCAGGAGCGACGGACGGGGTGAAACACGGACAGGAACACAGGGCCGGGGGGCTCGGGGGGGCGGCCGGGGGGCTCGGGAGGTGGCTGGGGGGCTTGGGAGGCGGCCGGGGGGCTCGGGAGGTGGCCGGGGGGCTCGGGAGGTGGCCGGGGGGCTCGGGGGGGCGGCCGGGGGGCTCGGGAGGTGGCCGGGGGGCTCGGGAGGTGGCTGGGGGGCTTGGGAGGCGGCCGGGGGGCTTGGGAGGTGGCCGGGGGGCTCGGGGGGCGGCTGGGGGGCTCGGGAGGTGGCCGGGGGGCTCGGGAGGCGGCTGGGGGGCCGCGAGGCCTGTCTGGACGCCCGGGCTCCATGCCTCGGGCCGCAGAGAGAAAGAGCCGGAGGGCGAGGGGCTCAGGGACAGGGCCAGGCCCTGAGTTCAAGGCCAGGGACCAGAAGTCTATCTATCTATATATACACACACACACACACATACAACATATACATACACAAATACACACATACACACACACATATACACACACGGACACACATACACATATACATACACAAATACACACATACACACAAATACACATATACACACACGGACACACATATACATGCACACGTGCACAGATGCACACACATGCACACACATGCACACACATGCACACGTGCACAGATGCACACACATGCACAGATGCACACACATACACACACGGACACACACGGACACACATATACATATATATACAATACACATACATGCACACACATGCACACATGCACACATGCACACACGCACGCGCGTCCCGCAGGCCCCCCCCCCCCCCCGCCCACACCGGCCTCCCTCCCACAGCTTCCCGGGACGCGAGGCGCCGAGAGCTGCGGCCACGCCGAGCAGTAAGTAGCCGGGCTGGGCCGGGGAGGAGGGACAGACCGACGGACAGACGGAGGACGAGAGCCAACGAGGGACAGACGGACAGACAGACAGAGGGGAAAGCCAACGAGGGACAGACGGACAGACAGACGGAGGACGAGAGCCAACGAGGGACAGACGGACAGACAGACAGAGGGGAAAGCCAACGAGGGACAGACGGACAGACAGATGGAGGGGAAAGCCAACGAGGGACAGACGGACAGACAGACGGAGGGGAAAGCCAACGAGGGACAGACTGACAGAGGACGGAGGACGGACGCCTGCCCCGCGGCCCCGACCCGTCGCAGCTGCCCGAGGACCCGGGTTCGAAGCCAGCCTCCCCCCCGTGAAGGCCCGCTGGGAGCGGCCGGGCCAGGCCCCGCGCGCATGCGCACAGCCAGGGGCGCGCGCATGCGCACAGCCAGGGGCGCGCGCCTGCGCAGTGTCCTCCACAGCCGGGTCATCGGGAGAAATGCGGGAGGGGGGAGGGGGAGGGTCGCGGGGTGGGGCAGCGGCCGGAGGGGACTAGAACACACATGTATAATCCGCATAAAGCCAGGCGCGTGGGATCCCGCCGAGAAGGAGCGAGGAGACAGGCAGAAGACGGAGGAGGGGTGGGCTGGCGCGAGTGCGTCGTGCGCATGTGCGGAGGAGAGGTGGGCTCTGTGAGTGCGTTGTGCGCATGTGCGGAGGAGAGGTGGGCTCTGTGAGTGCGTTGTGCGCATGTGCGGAGGAGAGGTGGGCTCTGTGAGTGCGTTGTGCGCATGTGCGGTGGAGAGGTGGGCCCTGTGAGTGCGTTGTGCGCATGTGCGGAGGAGAAGTGGGCTCTGTGAGTGCGTTGTGCGCATGTGCGGAGAGGTGGGCTTTGTGAGTGCGTTGTGCGCATGTGCAGAGGAGAGGTGGGCTCTGTGAGTGCGTTGTGCGCATGTGCGGAGGAGAGGCGGGCTCTGTGAGTGCGTTGTGCGCATGTGCAGAAGGGAGATGGATGGAAATGTCACAAAACCTTCCTGAGATGACCGAGATCTGCTAAGAAATAAGCAAACAGCAACAAGGAGACGCGGCGAGCTCCATCGCCATGGTGTAGCACGGTGCTATTTCTCCCCACAGCTGCCTGACCACAGACTGGGTCCACCTCTGGTATGTTTGGTAAGACGCGTTCTTCCTTTTCCAAGGACGTTGGGGGGTTCGTTGTTGTGTTTAACTTTTTGTGCCGGTCCTGGGGCTCGAACCCGGGGCCCGGGCGCCGTCCCGGAGCGCTCACTCACGGCTGGCGCTCTACCACCCGAGCCGCAGCTTCCTGCCCCGGCTGGCTTCGAACTTCCGTCCTCAGACCTCAGCCTCCCGAGGCGCTGGGATGACGGGCGGGAGCGCCTGGCCCCGCCCGGATGGCGTCGAGGTTTTGCGTGTTCTGTGGCTGGTTTGAGGGTGGATAACGTCGGGACAGCCGCTGCTCAGCGTCGCCTCTGCAGTGGGCCCCGATCGCAGGAAAGCGATCGCAGCCAGGCCTGTGATCCCGCACACTGGGGCCCCCAGCCAGGCCCCGGGGCTGAGGCCTGTGATCCCGCACACTGGGGCTCCCAGCCAGGCCCCGGGGCTGAGGCCTGTGATCCCGCACACTGGGGCCCCGAGCCGGCCAGGCCCCGGGGCTGAGGCCTGTGATCCCGCACACTGGGGCCCCCAGCTAGGTCCCGGGGCTGAGGCCTGTGATCCCGCACACTGGGGCCCCGAGCCGGCCAGGCCCCGGGGCTGAGGCCTGTGATCCCGCACACTGGGGCTCCCAGCCAGCCAGGTCCCGGGGCTGAGGCCTGTGATCCCGCACACTGGGGCTCCCAGCCAGCCAGGCCCCGGGGCTGAGGCCTGTGATCCCGCACACTGGGGCTCCCAGCCAGCCAGGCCCCAGGGCTGAGGCCTGTGATCCCGCACACTGGGGCTCCCAGCCAGCCAGGCCCCGGGGCTGAGGCCTGTGATCCCGCACACTGGGGCTCCCAGCCAGCCAGGCCCCGGGGCTGAGGCCTGTGATCCCGGGCACTGGGGCCCCGAGCCAGGCCCCGGGGCTGAGGCCTGTGATCCCGCACACTGGGGCCCCGAGCCGGCCAGGCCAGACCCATCCCAGCGAAGATCCCGACGCGGCGCCGTGGCTCACAGGGTAGAGCGCCAGCCCCGAGCCGCAGCAGCCCGGGGGCCGCGCCCAGGCCCCGAGTTCGAGCCCGGGCCTGGCCCTGGTTCTCACCCTGGGGCGGAGCAGGTCCCGGGGCTTGCGCTGGGCTTGGCTTCTCTCTGCCCCACCGCCTCGGCCCCTCCGCCCCGCTGGCTTCCCATCCTTGCTTCCCGTTACGCCACCACGACTCAGGAGGCTGACCGCGAGGCCCCCTCGCTACTCAGGGGCCGGGGGGGGGGGGGGGGGAGAGTGGCCGCAGCGAGGACCTCGCGGCCCGGGGTCCCCCTGCCCCCAGGGGCCGACCTGACACCGGCAAGGCAAAATAGACTTGTGCCGCAGGGCGCGGCCGTCCGCAAGCAGGCCGCTGCTCCCTCTTTATCCCTCGCAGGCCCCTCCCCTCTGCTCCCATTGGCTGGGCTCAGGCCCCCTCTTCCCTCATTGGCTGAGCGCAGCCCCTCCCCCCATTCCCTCATTGCAGGCCCCTCTGCCTACATTGGTTGGGCGCGGCCCGTCTGTCCCCATTGGCTGAGCACAGGCCCCCTCTGTCCTCATTGGCTGAGCACAGGCCCCCCCCTTCCCTCATTGGCTGAGCGCGGCCCCTCTGACCCCATTGGCTGAGCGCAGGCCCCCCTTCCCTCATTGGCTGAGCGCAGGCCCCTCTCTCGCTCCATTGGCTGAGCGCAGGCCCCTCTCTCGCTCCATTGGCTGAGCGCAGGCCCCTCTCTCGCTCTCATTGGCTGAGCGCAGGCCCCTCTCTCGCTCCGTTGGCTGGGCCCGGGCTCGGGCGGCCTCTCCCCGCCCGCAGGTTGCTGGTGGTGACGGGCGCGCTGCTGCTGCTGTGCGGCCTGACCTCCGTGTGCTTCCGGTGCTGCCTGAGCCGCCGGCGGGGCCTGGAGGACGGCGGCCCGCCGCCCTTCGAGGTGACGGTCATCGCCTTCGACCAGGACGGCTCGCTGCAGAACACCATCTCCTGTGAGCCCGAAGCACGGGGCGGGCGGGCGGCCGGGAGCGGAGGCCGGGGGCGGAGGCCGGGGCTGGAGGCCGGGGCTGGAGGCCGGGGGCGGAGGCCGGGGCTGGAGGCCGGGGCTGGAGGCCGGGGGCGGAGGCCGGGGCTGGAGGCCGGGGCTGGAGGCCGGGGCTGGAGGCCGGGGCTGGAGGCCGGGAGCGGAGGCCGGGGCTGGAGGCCGGGGGCGGAGGCCGGGGGCGGAGGCCGGGGGCGGAGGCCGGGGCTGGAGGCCGGGGGCTGGAGGCCGGGGGCGGAGGCCGGGGGTGACCGGCCCGCCCGGCCTCTCCCCTCTCCCCGCAGCGCTGCCGTCCGTGCTGGGGCCCGCAGCCCGGAGACTGCTGGCCGCGGCCCAGCCGCACGCCGCCCCGGCGCCGCCGCCCTGCGGCCCCGACGCGCTTCCCGGCTACGAGGAGGCTCTGCGCATGGCCCGCTTCACCGTGGCCGGGAGGGGGGGGGGGGGGCCGGGGAGACCGAGCGGGGGGGGGGAGGATGAGCGCGGGGGGGGGGGGAGACTGAGCGCGGGGGGGGCCCCCGGGGAGACCGAGCGCGCCCGCCTCGCCCCCGCCCCCCCCCCCCCCCCCCGCCTTTGGACCTCGATCCTCCAGATGGCCGCGTCCTGAGCACTGAGATGGCGGCGTGCCGACGCCTGCGGCGGCCTTCCCGACTTTCAGACTCACACGGTTATTCTTCGTCTCGAGTTCACTGAGTTGTAGGCAATCCTGAGCGTCCAAGCATCCGTTTCCTCGTGCAGATTTAGCACGAAAATAAACAGGTTGTGAGATGGCTCCTGTGTTCACGCTGGCGTTTTTCTCCCCGGGGGCTGGGACGCGGCCCGTGGCACGCTCGTGTGGCAGACGCGAAGCCCCGGGTTCCTTCCGTTCCTCAGCACGCAAAGAGCTGGAGTGGAGCCTGGCTCACGGGGTGGAGCGCCCGCCTGGAGCGAAACCCGCTCAGCAGCAGCGCCCAGACCCTGAGCTCAGGCCCACGACCGACAAAAATAAATTATTTTATTTTGTGCCATTCCTGGGGCTTGAACCCAGGGCCTGGGCGCTGTCCCTGAGCTGTGTCCAGGGCGCACAGCCTTCCTGAAGGAAAAGCAATCCGATGCCGGATGGCAACGGCCACCTCGTCCACCCCGTGATGTCTCTCGAACGAGCACCGTGTGCCCACCCTGCGGTCGCTGCTGCGGGCCAGACACCACAACCCTGCAGCCGGCTGCGGAGCGGCTGCTCAGCCCCGCCACCCCAGCTCGGGACACCCAGGCCAAAGCCGCAGATGGAAGCGCGGGTGGAGTGGCAGAGAACCAGAGTTCAGCAAAAAGCCACCGGAGAGCGCAAGGCCGCGAGTTCAAGGCCCGGCCGGAGCGGACGGCCCCGAAGAGCTTTGCCGGGCTTCCTTCCCGGCTGCCGCTGCCCCCGGGTTGCGCCTCGTGGGGGGCTTCTCTGCCACCTGGCGGACACTCGGGGAAGTGCGTCCTCGGCTGATCGTCTGGAGCAAGGTCCCTGAGATCCGACCTGCAACCAGCCGGTTCACACGCCGGAGGGACGAAGCTCAGGCCCTGAGCTCAAGCCCCGGGACCGGCACAGACCCGCGGAACGGCAAACACCCGCCCCAAACCCCCCACCTGCCTCATTCACGCTAAAGGCTAACAAACACACTGTAACTACCTGGCTATTAATAACGCTGATAAGCATTAAAAGGCCTTTGTCAGGCTAGGCAGGTGCCCACCACTTAAACCATGCCTCCAGCCTCATTTTTGCCCTGGTTGACGTGTGGTGTGTGTGTGTGTGTGTGTGTGTGTGCACATGCGTGTGCATATGCACGTGCACATGCGTGCAAGAGCCTGTAATCTGAGTCTGGCTCTGTTTTGTCATTTCTTGTCTTTGGATAATCAACCTATTCAAAGCCTTGGGTGTAGCTGAGTCCAGGCCAACCCAAACCACATCTCACAGGCTGAGCTAGGGGAGGGCATGGCTGTAATCCCTGCTGATAGAGCAGGTAGAATGATCCAGGTCTGAGCGATCAAAGGTGAGACCTAAGAATGCAACCAAAAGGAGGCTTGGGGCAGTGGTTCAATGGGAGGGGACATCCTCTCCGGGCGCAAGCCCCTGAATCCAAGCCCAAGTCCAGGAGAGAGAGGACAGGCCCTGGGGGGGGGGGGGCAAGTTCACTTAGAAGTTCTTCGTGTGCTAAAACTTGTTAAGCAAGATCCTCTCCTGGGCCCATCGCCCACAGTGTTGCAAGAATTTTCCAGAAAGGATAAATATGAGAGGCTGGGCTTCGGTTCCTTGTGCAAGAGCTGGCTTTCTGGCTTCGGTGCTTTGTTTTCCTTCACGGCCTGCGAAAGGGCAGACCGAGGTCCTGCCCTGGCCCTGGGTGCCCAGCGGCCCTGCGCCTGCCTACAGCCCCCAGACCACATCCTCCCTCCCTTCCCCGTTCCTCCCCCTCCTCCTCCCCCCCCCCCGCCCCCCTCCTCCCCCCTCCTCCTCGCCCCCGCCCCCCTCCTCCTCCTGCCCCCCTCTTCCCCTCCTTCTCCCCCTCCTCCTTCCCTCCCCCTCCTCACCCTCCTCCCCCTCCTCCCCCTCCTCCCCCTGCTCCCTCCCCCTGCCCCCCTCCTCCCCCTCCTCCTTCCCTCCCCCTCCTCTCCCTTCCCCCCTCCTCCCTCCCCCTCCCCCTCCTCCCCCCTCCTCCTCCCCCTCTCCCCTCCCCCTCCTCCCCTCCCCCTCCTCCCTCCCTCCTCCCCCCTCCCCTCCTCCTCC